TAAAAAAAAAAATAGACAGAATGCATTTTACAGCGCGGCGTCCCAGCCCATTTTTTTTTTTTCGTTTTCTTTTGTCTTCTTGTTTCCTCTCCGCATATTCCACGGCTTTGCACGTATCCAAGTGTCGAGGTTAACAAAGGGGGGGAAACAAAAAAAAGTAGTTTCGGGACAAACATCTCGCCGATGTGATGCTCCGTCCCAAGGCTCAAGGTTTTTCAACCTTAACAACAGCAATATATGTCAAAGAGCTATTATGAGAGCTGCAGTGATGAAAATGTATATATATATATATATATATATATCTTTCTTCATCTAGCTCTTCCCAACCCTTGAAAACAGTTCTCATCCTTTTCATTGACCCCCTCTCTCTCTCCGACTGTCTGTGCGTATGTGTGTGTGTGTTTCTTATATTTTCGATTTCGTCTCCAATTTCGTCAAGGCCACCCCCAAGCATCAGTCATCTCTTTCCATTCGCAACAACTGAGCCGCACTATCGCCATAATCACTACACACACTTACACACTTTCACACTGAATCACTCCTTCAGTTAGTGAAGGAGCCAAGAGACCAGAAGCGTACCACGCCATCAGCAGAAGCGGTTATGATGATGTCACCGTCCATGACAAGCCCACGAGTGAGGTCCTTCCAGGCCTTCTGCTTGGTTGCCAAGGGGGTGACAAACTTCCGCACATCCCATACAAAAAGATCGGATCCACTGCATGCAGCAATGTACTTATCGTGTGCTGAAACCGCAGTAATTACCTCTGACATTGACTTCTCGCTGATCATGCGAAGACCACTCCGCACATCCCAGAGACGAACCATCTTGTCAAAGCCACCCGTTACTGCAGTGTCGCCGTAGCTAGCTACAGCCGGAACTTTCCTCTGGTGACGGTCCGTCGTCTCCAATATTACACAGCTAGCAGGGTCAATCAGGGAGCAAACGCCACTGCCTCCTCCAATAATAACATGCCTTCGCTGAGTCGAGCGCATGGCCTGAATAGACATCCCCGATGCAATAAAAGAGCTGCTCTGACGATCCGAATGAAGCACACAAATTGTGGCACTTAAACCTCCCGATAGAACAGCGCTAGTGGGATCATCCGGGTTTGCATACGTCACCGCAAATACATCACTTTGAAAAGAAGCCACCGAGGTTGCTACGAGCTCCTGTCCCGCAAGCGAGTAATTAAAAATCGAGCTAGTTCCGTCCTCGCAGGCAGTGGCAAAGTCGTACGCAGAAGCAAAGGCAACATCCCAGACACAGGCCTTGTGAGGACGGAACTGAATGAGGGGTAGGCCGTCGACGTCCAAAATCAGGACATAACCCCCCGTCGTGCCTACAGCGTAGCGTCCCTCTTTCACCTTGCAGAGGGAAATAAATTTTTCATTTGTGCTAAACGTGTACTTGGCGACACGTGTAATACCATCTCCAGTTATGGTTTCCCGGTCTGCCTGAGGAGAGGCACTCTGACTCAATTCCATGAAAGTATTCTTCTCAAGTGGCACGATGCTCACCTCGTGAGATATCTTAACACGCCGCTGACTTTTTGTCACTTCTGGTTTCTCATCGACGGGCGCCGATGCCGCGCCTCGCACGACGGAAAGTCCTTTGCGACTCTGCAGCAAGTCACTTTCGAGCTGCACCTCGCCTGTATCGCGACGCAGCGTGCTGCGCAGCGTCACACCGCCCGAGAGTAGCGCCTCTGGGAAATGCGGGTGGGGCTCACACATGAGGAAAACACGTGTTTTGCTGTGAATAGCTCCCTCTGCTCGTGCCTCCAGAATGCACTCAGCCAGTTTTCGGAGAAGGGAAATGGATTTCGTGGCCTGTTCAATGTAAATCCAGAGGCCTTTTTCGAGAGACTTACGAAAAACCTCTCCAGCCTGACCAAGGCTCTGCCGTGTTTTGAGGCGAGCAACGGTGTTAATGTACATCACAGTACACGAGGCACGTTCGGCAGCAACGGCGATGGCATAGGCGGGATTCACACCTTCGCTCATGATGATGATGCACCTACCAGGCCCTGCCTTCTCTGCCGCATCTGCGAGAACATCGGTACTTTTGGGAAGAACTGATGGATCATCGTGGGCAACGACCCCAAGAGACAAATTGCGTTGTTGGAAGTTGTTGTCTTCGTCTTCGCCAGAGCTTAGGTCGAATTCATCGTGCCCATCAGAAGGTCGCGGCACAAACACCAGCACCACGTCACCCCCCATGTGCCGCCGCTTCTTCTGTTCATCCTCTGCCCTCCCCACTGGGTTGCCGTTGATGGAGCTCAGGATCATGCCCTTCGTCACGCCCGCCAGTGACAAGCAATCCTTCGAGTTTACTGAAACAACTTCATTATTGGGACCGAACTGCACGTCCTCCATGAACTCCCGCGCCGTCGCGCTAACGAAGACGGGCATTTTCGATCCTACCTTTTCTTTTAAGTTTTTTCTCTCAAACGCAGCCCCCC